TTCGAAATGGAAGAAGTTACTTTGGCCTTTGCTGATGCCGTAGAAGGCACTGAACTCATTGGAGAGCTGGCTGCTTCTGACATGACGGATACAGGTCTGGTGGCCTCTGGAGAAATAGTTAAGTGTTTTGTGGTGATAGGATGTGGAGTAGTGGTTTCTGAAGAGGTAGTAGTCTTTATAGAGCTGGAGGTCATTGTGGCCTCTGGGGGAGAAGTGGCTGTTGGAGTTGTAGTGGTTTCCAACGTGGAGGTTTGTGCAGAAGTAGTTAAGTATTCCTTGGTCGTTGGAAGCTGAGTAGTGGTTTTTGTAGTACTACTACTAATTGAGGAGCTCTCTGGGGAAGAGCTGGAGTGCTTTGTGGTCTCTGGGCCAGAGGGGGACGTTTGCTCGGGGGTAGAAAGAAGGCTGGAACTGCTTGTGGGAGTTATAGATGTCACACTACTTGACGAAGCAGAAGCGGTGGTCATTGGCGGACTCGTCGGAGTCATGCTAGTCTCTGAAAAACCTGTAGAGGACACTGTGCCCTCTGGAGTTGGTGTTGTGGTTTTCGAAATGGAAGAAGTTACTTTGGCCTTTGCTGATGCCGTATAAGGGACTGAACTCATTGGAGAGCTGGCTGCTTCTGACGTGACGGATACAGGTGTGGTGGCCTCTGGAGAAATAGTTAAGTGTTTTGTGGTGATAGGATGTGGAGTAGTGGTTTCTGAAGAGGTAGTAGTCTTTATAGAGCTGGAAGTCATTGTGGTGTCTGAAGTGGCTGTTGGTGTTGTAGTGGTTTCCAACGTGGAGGTTTGTGCAGAAGTAGTTAAGTATTCCTTGGTCTTTGGAAGTTGAGTAGTGGTTTTTGTTGTACTACTACTATTTGAGGAGCTCTCTGGGGAAGAGCTGGAGGGCTTTGTGGTCTCTGGGACTGATGTGCTAATTTGTGACGTGGTGGACGCAGTCAAGGTGGTTGCTGGGAATGCTGCGGAGACTGCTATGCTCTCTGGAATGGTACTTGTGGTTTCCATAGTGGGATAAGTCATCATGCTACTCTTTCCTGAAGCTGTAGTGCTCTCTGTCGGAGCCATCGCTGTTTCAGATGTGATGTATTCAGGCATGGTGCTCTCTGGGATAGTTGTCGAGTGTCCTATACTCTTTGGGGTAGAAGCCGATGTTGCTTTTGTTGTGGTTTCTAACGTGATGGTTTCTGAAGTGCTAATAGCCTTCGTAGAGCTGACTGTAAAAAACATGGATAGCCCTCTGTCCTCTGTAGGAGATGTGGCTGTTTCTGATTTGGTGTATACACTACTTGTTTTCATGCTCTGTTTGCTTGTGGCAGTGGAGGATGTTTCCGATGTACTTGTTCCCTTTACTGTTCCTGTTGGTGCTGAAAGGATATAAATAATTTGTATTAAAATTAATGTAGTATGAAGGACAGAACAAAGGTTTTAAACTGCAATTTGCTAATAGAACATAAGACTTAGTAAAGTTTTCATTCTTTTTGTTTGCATGGATGTTTCTTTACTTTTTGATACCTTTGACCATGCAGATCGGTTTGTAATTCTATGGATTTCCTTCCTTCATCAATTTGATTAAGTATATTAATTTCCTCTGTATTTGTTTGAGGCATTTGTTGGTCTTTCCCTGTCTTATTTTTCTTAGCTACTGATTTTCATGAGGTTAGACAGTGATATTCAAGTTATATTTATTATAATTGAATATGTTTATTTATTGGTTGTATATTTCACTGTTCATTCAAATAGCCTTCCTTCTTCCTATTTTTCACATAAAACTCTATTTATTATCTTGGGGTGAGAGAGAAAGATTGGGCTAAATTCACCAGAAAGCTTCTGTGACTGGAGAGGGTTAAGCATTGTACCACATTGTCTTTGAATTTCACCAGATAAGTTAGAAACTGAGAACCTGGATGCAGTGATATGGTCTATCCTTAAGCTAAGGCCTTTTCGCTATAGTCCTCATTTTATAACCTCAGTTGGGACCAGCAATTCAATCATTAAGTGAAGCAGTCACTAAGTGAAACCGTGGTGATCTTCAACTTTCCCTTGATTAATAGACCTGTGAAGGTTTTAAATGCAAAGATTGCTCGCAAAGTTACTTTTTCATCCCATCATTTCATCCACCATGTAGTTTTACAATGGTCACTAAATAAGGCAGTTACTAAACAAGGATTACCCAAATAAAAGTCCTAAATAAAAGGCAAAAAAATAAATAAATACCACAATCACCTTACAATACATTCCTTCAGTCCTTCACTCAGCAAAAAAATATACCAGCATAAATTACATCCCCACATGGCCCATTTTGGATCACAGGTAAGTACAGGGCCCATGTGGAAGGTAAGTACAGGGCCCAGTTCTTTCTTAGCAGCAGGGCTGGGAAGGGGTACTGCCCTTACAACTGTATTCAGGACAAGTTAAAGGCCTCAAAAAGTGGATTACTTTGAATATGTTTCTTTTCCCTCCCCTGTCAACATTACTGGAATTGAGTGATTTGGGGATGGGATGGAACGGGAGAAGGATTCAGATACCTTTCAAATTGCCCAAATATATCCCTCTGTCTCAGCCAATAGCATGTTCCTTAATTACTTTTGGATTCAGGTGTTAGTACATCAAAGTTGGCTAGGTCAGGAAATAAAACTTCATAAGGTTTATTAGACTCTGCTTTATTGCAGAGTGCCAAGTTTCTTCTGTCCTTTCTTATAACATGACAGTACATTAAATCTTTCTTAGGCTCCCTTCTTTTCCCAGGGCTCAAATTTGGGGGTCTGAGTCATTACTGATTTCTGGTGACTGCCTGGACCAATTCCTCTAGGTTTCTTGGCACTATTTTCAGAAGTGGTTTGTCCTTGCCTTGCCTAAGACTAAGAGAGAGAGGCTGGCCCAAACTCACCGAGTCAACTTCATGCCTAAAGCAGGACTAGAACACAGGATCTTGGCAGTAACTCCTATCCTGTTGCCTTAACCACTACACCAATTTGGCTCTTGAGATTTCATTTACGGTCTCTTTTATCAGTTAAAAGTTGTGTTCTTTTGCCCATGTTTTCTACCTCCCTTTACACCAGCTTTCTTCCAGAAGACTTCATAAATAACCCATGATTCAGGTCACCAACGTGGTGGAGGGATTATGAGGAATACTAGTCAACTTCTCTCTCTTTCTCCCTTTGCCATATAAATGTACTTGTGACCTGGGACCTGGGACCTCTTGCAACTTTTATCCCTGCTCCCATTTATCTCACATAGATGGATGTTCAAGCCAATGTCAATGCTGGCTGTGAATGCTCACGGTCAGCAGCACCTAGTAGTATTATGCGGGTAGGTGAAATAACATTGCCCCCAATTAAAGCAAAAACAGAAATAAAACAAATAAATCTACGATGTAGGCTAGTGCTTTCTCTAGGGAATGGAGAACACTAGTTTTGTTTTCTTACATAAATGTCTACTATCCTTCCTTGTGTTTTAAAAACAGGGCTAGTATTCTTTGACAAGCAAGTTAATCTGGAAATATCAGACTGGCATTTTCCAAAGCACGGGTCAGGTATTACGCAGGTTGATGTCACTGTGGAAGCCAGGTGTTCAGTTTGTCCTGCACTTGAATCCAAAAGAGCCAAGGAGGGCAGTTGCCAGTGGCCTAGGAAAGATGACATGCCCACAACATCCCCACATGAGCCATAGGTGCTGGTCAGATTACCTGACTATATTATCACCAACTTTATCAATGGACCGCTATAAATCATTCATACATTGAAAGCGGTGCTGGAAGAAGAGAAGAAAACTATTTTAGCACTGCCTCTAAAGTTGAATTAAGCTGCCTCTGTGGCAGGTGAAGATGAGATGAAAACAATATTTGAGCTGCCCAGGGTTGTTTGTGGAGATGGGTGGCTATAGAAATCAAACAACAAACAAATAAAATGTCGTGGAGGCCTAACCTTGTAAGCAGGGGTGTGCTTCAGCCGTTTTGTGCCAGTTTGGCCGAACCGGATGTTAATGTTACATCTGGCTCAGCAAACAGGTAGTTCCAACCACTGGCTGGCCCCGCCCACCCCATCCCGCCCCTCCCAGGAGTCCCCACATGGCCCATCTTGGATCACAGGTAAGTGCAGGGCCCATGTGGAAGCTCGGGGAGGGTGAAAAAACGGGTCTCCCAGAGGCTTGAGGAAAGCCTCCAGAGCCCAGGGGTGAAAATGGACCTCCCGGAGGCTCGAGGAAAGCCTCCAGAGTCCGGGGAGGGCGAAAAACAGCCCCCCTGTGGCCCATTTTCATTCCCAAGGTGGTGCAGGGAGGCCTACTAGGTCAAAAATGGGGTGTGGGGGACGCAGTGCCCCACTCGGCAGCCTGTTTTCACTCCCAGGGTGGTGTAGTAGGCCAACTAGGCCACGCCCACCATGGCCACTGGGCAACCAGGAAGAACTGGTTGTTAAATTATTTGAAGCCCACCCATGCTTGTGAGATAATGAAGGGAGCATAGTTATTCTATGGGAAGGTAAGCCAAATACTTTACGCAGACAGGTGGCGGCTTTAGCCTCGGTGATAGCCTGGGGTGACCTCCGGTCCATAGTGCACCATCCACATGTCCGCACCTCTCTTAAGGGTGCTGCAAACTTACGACCTCCTGTAATTCACTGCTATCCCACCTGGGACCTCAACAAGGTGTTAACCGCACTTGCAACTGGCCCGTTCGAGCCTTTAAGAACCGATAGTCTTAAATTCCTGACATATAAGGTGGCCTTCCTAATTGCAATCACATCAGCAAGGAGGATTTCCAAATTGGCAGCATTGTCAATGAGAAAGGACCTGTGCGTTTGTCATGCGGACAGAATGATTCTCCGATTGGATCCACCGTCCACTCCTAAAGTAAATTCAGCCTTCCACAGAGCGCAAGAGTTGGTGCCTCCAAAATTTTTGTCCGAAACCATCTCATAGACTGGAGCATCAATGGCATCGACTTGATGTTCGAAGGGCCTTAGGCATCTATCTAGACCGCACGGCGGCATTTCGAAAATCTGAGGCTCTATTCCTATCCTTCAACACATCCACTTTAGGGCAAAAGGTGTCGGCGACGACCATCGGTAGATGGTTGAGAGCCACCATAGCTAAAAGTTACGAATGCCAGTCCATCTCAGTTCCTAAGGGCACTGCAGCCCACTCAACAAGGAGTGCGGCAATATCAGCTGCATGGGCCACACGGGCTTCCATAGACGAAATTTGCGGAGCGGCAACTTGGGCTTCACCATCTCCCTTTGTCAGAAATTATAAAATTGATGTCTATGCCTCAGCAGACGCTTCATTTGGCAGAAGAGTCCTGCAGAGGGTCCACAGAGTTTAGGAGTGGATTTCGATCCAGACGGAGTCCCTCCCTAAGGACAGGCCAAGCTTTGGTATGTCCCACTTCTGGATGCTCTGAACAGCTCATGGGAGAAAGGGCATTGGTACTTACCTGATACGCCCGTTCTCTGTGAGCTGTGAAAAGTATCCAGCCCCACCCATTTCTTTCCATCTGGTGGGGTTCCATTCCAGTCAGGGATCTAGATTAGGTGATGAGTCCTGGACTTTGGCACTCAGTCTTTGCAAAACTGGGGGACGCTGAGGAGGCGTCCCGTGGAGGAGGAGGAGCGTCCCGGAGTTTTAAGCCCAGCCTTTCCAGAAGAGACTGAAGCACCTCCCACTTCTGGATGCTCTTCACAGCTCACAGAGAACGGGCGTATCAGGTAAGTACCAACGCCCTTTTTCGGTGTGATGCTTTCTAGTGCATAAAAGGTTACTTTCTCTGGCTTTGCAGGAACTCAGAGAAAGGTGTGTTGTTTGCATTGTTTGATTATTTAAAATTGGGATTTTCTGCCTGCCAAACCTGTCTCTACCCTGAGCTATGAAACCTACTTTAAACACAATATATTGCATTCACATGCTATGCTTAACCTGTTTTTTGCATTGTTTAATTTTCTGGCTTCACACACCCCTGAACCATAAACTACTAAAGTGTCTAAGCTTACATGCCACACTATACCACATACATATACACATGCATACACATATACTGTACATACACACCTACACAAATATAAAACAATATAGTATGGTTAAGTTATGTGGTATATTATAAAGCTGTAGGGTACATTTATGTTAGGCTTGCTCCATCTCACTGGAAGTCACCAATCTTCAGACAGGGAGCCATATTTGGGCTTCTGAGAGTGAAGTTTGAAAGAACAAAATTGATATCTTTAAATGAGGATATTAGGTGGAGTGGATGGTTAATTAGTGCCATCTAGCCACCTCACAGATGGACTATTGCAGGGGTGTCAGACTCAATTTCATTGAGGGCCACATCAGGGCTGTGGTTGACCTTGGAGAGGTCAGGCAGGTGTGGCTGACT